GCCACTGTTGTGCTCTAATCTCCCTCTCAATGGGTAAATCGTTAACGTTCCGCGGTGCGGTCTATGAAGCGACTGAAATATTGAAAAAGCATCGTTGCAACGATCCCATATGTGATACACATTTGTGGAAAGTTAAGCATGAACTAGATATGACACGTTTACGTGTACGACAATTGGAAAAGGCGTTGGATAAACACGGCATCAAAACACCACAACTAAGGTACATAAGTTTAATTGTGAATTTAGGAAAAAGAAATAAATAAATAAATAAATAAATAAGTAAATAAACCGCCGGGGTTTTGGGGAAAATATGTGTACCTTAGATAAAAAGTTATGGTGATTAAATCTATGTATGTGTGTATTTTGTACTACAAAGCAAAGCAAAGTGTATTTAGAAAATATAATAAGCACGCATCCAAGTGAAAGAAAGCAACAAAATGATGTGTAATAGAAAGATGACCAGAACATTTCCAGGAAAGGAGTACACCTGCGTCCTTCTGCTTTACGATCGGTGAACTTAATTCCACTCATTTCCAATGGATGAAATTTATTTATTTAACCTACTTTAGATTCGGTTTTAGGCTTTGACATACATATATCAAATTTGAAAAAAAAAATCCGAATTAAGCTAACACACGCCTTGTTTATATATCTGTTAAATATCTCGGTTCATCTTTGCTATGGTTTCTATAGCTATTTTATCCTATGCTTCAATAACTATTTTGTCGTACACTACTCTACGCGCCTACTTTCTATCCGATCTTCCATATGCCATCGCTAGCTCGTTTCAATTAATCTTTTTTCTCCCGAATGCATGAGTTTATGAGTTTATCCTGTGATCTGAACGTGTCTTCGTGCGTTCCTGTACTCTTCCTTTACTCGTTGTTTCGTCAGTCACATTCAGTCAATCAATCAAGTCAAACATGATGAAGCCACATCCACGAACATGTTCTCCTTCTCTTCCCTTCCTCTCTTTCCCCACCTCTTTCTAAACATCATCGTCTTAGACTTATATAGGCCAAGCCCTGAACGAGTAAATCATTACGAACGTTTTTACACCAAGTCCCTTGTCCTTTCGCAGGATTTGTCCCTTCATCTTTATGCCTCTCCACGCGTCCTGCTTAGACATTGTGTTCTCTCGGCCGTCTCTACCAGTGTCTGCTCGTTTGTCAATGTGTATACCCTTTGTCTGTCTAATTTCACCTTCGTTTTGGCCTTCTTCGTACACCATTTGTGCCGCCATCTCTCTTACCATCATCACCTCTGTATTTAAATTTAGTTTTCTAACTGTTCTTTTGCGCATTGATTCATTTATCACAAGATCAAGCGATCCGTTAATATTATCTATGTCAGCAAAGTCTCCGTCATCTTATGGGAACTCAAATGATTCTACCCCTAGGCAACACCCGTAAATATTAGGATGCAATTTCCATCTATAAAGCCTTGGTCAAATCGAGTGAAAACAATCCATTTCTTAAACGGATGGTGTCTGAAGATGAGAAATAGGTCACATACGTCAACATTCTGCGAAAACGATTGTGATCCAAGCGAGGTGAAGAAGCTCATCTGGTGACAAAACCAGGACTAACGACCAGGAAAGCTTTATTGTGCATTGCGAGAGACTGGAAAGGATCTCTTGCTGTTAATAAATTGACGGTTTGAAGCTAGCGATTGACGGAGACAGAATTGTTGTGTTGCATCAGGACAACGCCAGGCCCTACGCCTCTATAGGGACTGGCAAGAAACTCCGTGAGCTTAGTTGGGAAGTTTTGACGCATCCACCACCAAGCGATTCCCATATGACCTCTTGCGATGCACACTTGACCTACATCGGTAATCCAAAAGAGTTTAACTAAAGGCTTGAAGTTCGCGTAGAAATATAAAGTTTCTTTTTCCCCAAACAAATATTTCTTTTCTTATTTAATGCAATGCCAAACCTAAACCCGATATGATCGATTGGAAAAACATTCTAAATATGAAAACAAGTTTAAAAATATTGCTACGATCGACATCTATTTGAGGTTAAGTAGTGAATATAATAAAATCTCGGTTCTTAGTGCAAGGAAGTAGCTACGATTTGCTTTTATTTCTTAAGTATGGCTATAGCGTATTTAGATGACAAAAATTATATGATGATATAATTGATGAGAGTAACAACATGGATGATATATCTAATGTAAGCGATAAAAGCGAAATTTCTATTTGATATTTAATTAAAAAGATTAAAAGTAAACTTTAACATAGAATTTATTTATTTATTTTGCTTTCTCTCTGTGCAGACTTGCTTCCTCATCCGATTTACTAAATCATCATCATTTGAAAGAACGTCCTCCTCTGTTGGGTAATCTTAGTTTAGCGGCCAGTGCACAAGATCTATACAGGTGGTAAGTTTTTTGTTTATTAACCGTAGATTAGCATGTGCATAAAACACTACCTCATCCCTTTCACTTTTCTTTCTTAATTTCGCTATCTCTCTTCAACCCTTTTGCTTAAGTCGATGTCTCTTTATGTCAAAGATCTGCATGAATATAAGTTTAAAATAAAAAAAAAAAATAAAAAAATAAAAAAAATTATTTTAACACAATAACACTTCTTCTCACAGTTCTCTGTATACGTAAAGTAAGTTGTATATAAATAAATATGAAAATCATAAAAATATGTATGTATGTATGTATGTATGTATATATGTATATGTATCTAAATATATGTGCAATCATATGCAGACATCGAACTTGGCAAAGTTCTTTTCGTGTTTTTTTTTTTTTTTTTTTTTTTTTTTTTTTTTTTTTTTTTTTTTTTTGTTTACCAAATCAAAATCAAAACATTTAATTATGATTTTAGCAACACTTTCACATTGCTATAACGCTTGTATGCACTTTACCATAATTCCGAAATATGTTTACCAATGTCTTCACAAAATTATTATCCTAATGTTAACATTCACAGGCATCGGAAGCAAAATGTAAATAGACAGATAGATATACACGTCCGTACAGTAGATACATATACATGATTACGTAAAATAGCTGTAACCTGTAACTTGTAACCTCTAACCTGTAACCAATCATCAATCTAGTAAAAGGATGTTATGTGATAGATGATAATGACTTTATTTATTTATTTATTAAAAAATGAGTATTCACTTACTCTGATAACGGACTCTGTTATGATATCACAAATATTCAAATACAAAATATTATTCATTGCATAATTGATAAAAGTGAAACTAAGCAAATAAAGTAGATCCACTATGCTTACTATTCCGTTGAAACGATTGTAATTTTATTATTCTTTTAATTAATAAAAGCTTTTGTTCGTATCTACGATCGCACTTATTTCAATATGAGTATGAATAGTGGAAAATATAAACAATAGTTTCGCATAACAAAAGATGTATATATATATATATATATATATAAATACATGCAATAATGTATACAATAGAATAAATGCCATCAATGAAAACAATAGTTGCAACGTTACGTTACGTTATCCTTAATATCGGATATTAGCATATTGTTCTTGGTACCCTTTTTGTTATGCATATGCACGCAAGGTAAGGTAATCTCGAGCAAGGTAATGAGTGTACAGTGAAACCTCTCAACAGCTGCCAAACGCTGTACGGCTTCGTTAAAATCGATCATATTACATGGCATCTTGGATAAAGCAACGATGCCTTCAAACACTGCACAGAAATTATTTGTGAATATAAAAAAGTCACATTTCATATTTCATTGGAACCTCATCGGTGCATTAGATACACGCTTAATAAGTTCATTCCGTCTCAAACCGCAAGCAAATCGAAATGACATATACTCTACCGAGTTCATTACACATATATCTGTGTGAGTACAAATTCTCTCATCTTTCATAATTGGAAAAAATAATTTAAACAATTACAGTCGGGCATGGTACGCAATTAAATGCCCTAAATGATTGCGTGTAAAGCAATTTTTCATTCATTTTCTTGGTATTATTTCTCATTCAGGAAAAACTTGGCAGCATTATTATTACGATTATACATTATTTGTTCTGATTAACACGTTTTCCCGCTTATCTGCTTGAGTATTGCTTCGACTGGACCGCAAAAAGCCAAACGCATAATAGATAGAAAGCTATAGCTTTCAATTCATAGCAGACATTAGTTATCATTTCGTAAAAACATTATCGAGGATTACTTAATGAAAAATTATCGAGCTTTTAAGTCTTAAACAAATTCTGCTTACAGTAAATACGGTCGTTATCATTATTACAACTATATAGCATCTATAAATAAGTGTAAATGTAAGGCAAAAAATTTCGAAACATTTGATTGATTAGGACGCGGCATTCATTTAATGTTCGTTCATTAATGCACGATCAATACATGATCGAACATCAATCGAAATTTCGTAATAGCATTATGCATACGCAATAGTTTTCACAATTTATTATAATTATATATACATATGTATTTACTATAATTCTTTTCAATCCTAAGCGTTTCCATTTCCAAATCCTTTATAATAATAAACCAGAGCTAATATCGCATATTTAAGTAGATAAACTCTATAAATATTTAATACCACGTTATTAATACTTTGACCACATGAATTATATAAATGTATATATATATATATATTTGATTTATAGGTGTATATTTGTATAGGTGTATATTTATATTTTTTAAATACATATTAATCTGTAGCATAAGTAAACAAATTATGTTCGCCTTGTAGCGAATCTTGAATAACCGTTATCTCAAATATATTTGTATGTATATGCGCATATACCGCAAAAATTATTGATAATTAATAGTCGGCCTCCAAATTGTTACATCGGAATGATTTTCGTCCAAGCATCCATAAAAAAGTCTGAATAATTTTATTTATGCCAGAGTTTAATTAACTGCACATCTGCAGTGAAGTTTCCATTGTGTGAAGGCAAGCTAAGAGCACACAATGTTTGCGATTATAAGATGGACGGACGGATGGACGGACGGAGATATGGATGGGCGGCCAGATGGGTGGACGAATAGACGGACAAACTGACTTGCCCAAAATCTGTTTCAAATCTTATATATACGCGCCTTATCGGGTCTAAAATACGCACGTCCGTTCTTTCAAATGAAAGAGCTAAACTATTGCACTTATAAGTGGATGTGTATGTCTTCTAGATTGCGAGTCGTCGGTTGATAGCTGTCGGTATCAAATAAATACGATCGTAATTTGAATCTTTTACTCGACGACAGTATTACGATTAAAAGAAAAATGGCATAGTTTATCGATCACTTTAAGCTCGCTACTCGTCACAGTGAGTCGATAATCGACGACTTTGTCTATTCGAGTTTACTCGATTGGTTTTACTGATCTGTAAATCTAAATTACAAACAAATCGAATAAGTTTCAGCTTCTTATGGCAGCATTTATAACCTTCCGATTTCTACAGATGGACAGATGGACATAATATATTAAGCATTATGCTACTTTCAAGTTCTTTACAACGCATTCTTTATTTCAGGTAATGTTTACAATATATCAGGGACATATATGACTGCTTTAATATTTTCGATTTCGAAAATTTTTATCTTCATTTTATATACAAGCACTTAAATATAAATCCGGTATGCATACATACGAATTAATAAGGCTAGTAAGCTTCTCTTTTCAAGGTGATGGTTATATGAAACATTTTTATTAACAATTTTATATTGAAAATAATAAATAATATTGCTCTTCTAGCTGGAACAATGGCCCTTTGGCAAAATTTAAATAATTGCATATAAGTATTAAAACAACAACGCGTCTGTGTGTGCTGTGTACAGAGCGCATACAAACATATGTGAATAATTCTATAAATCATAATCATGACATTTATACATAAACAAAAGATTTAGATTAAATGAAAAAAAAAAAAACAAAAACAAAAAGAAGCAAACACATTATATTAACTAATATATAAAATTTTTTCTTCTTCCTCTCCTTCTTCTTCTTCTTCTTCTCTTCGCAATTACCCTTTACTTACCTAAAGGTCCTATAAAACGGAAATCGCTGAAATGGAAACCGTACTTTAAGAAGACAAGGAAGCGAATGTTGCGATAATGGAGACAAACGTAACGTAACTCTCACAAAGTTTGATGTGCCATAATATATAAGTTAACAATAAAAGTCAAAACAGCAACAACAACTAGCAAAAATCATACATACATACATACATACATTTTATTATAAATATTGTGAAAAACGATGTTATTTATGGAGGTTTAAAAAATCAAAAATATTTTAATTATTATTTATTAAAAAAAAACTAAAAAAAAAAAAAAAAAAAAAAAAATCAAAAACAAAAACAAAACGAAAGCATAAAGCATAAAGCAAATTCAAGGCTGAAAAGCTTTAATAAATTTCGAAATAACAAGAAAATGAGAAAAAGACTTAGAGACCGGATATATAAAACAAACAAACCAAATAAAAAAAAAAGTAAATAAAAAAAAGAAAAGAAATCAATTACCAAACAGATATATTTTAATAGCCGTATGTTTTGCTCCGTCTCAATACGTTAAGGGGACAGAGAAAGTTTCCACATTCCTGTTCGAGGTCCGTAACAAGCCTCGTCATTTGAAAAGTCTTCTCCATCCATAGTATGGGGTTTTTCGTAAATTAATGCGATCCTTATAACATGCTAGACTGGTGTCACTTATTCCACATATCTGCGATTGGCAAGAATATCGCTTTAAACAACTTTTTGTTTTTATTTGATTTAAAAAATAGTTTCAATTATATCTCTCCTTTCTTTACTTGCTTATTTATAACTTAAGACTATAACCTGAAAACCTATTAATTAGAACAACATTGCGACAACATTCCCTATATAAGGCATATTCGTTTAGTTACATCACTATCCAAACATCTATTGTATTAAAAAAAAAAAACCAAACCGGAAGAATAACACAAAATAGTTATGTCAGGCCCATTAGTGTGGGTTCCATTTCTATGATACAGTTTGATAAATTATTTCAGCTTTTTATTTTGCTATAATAATCGGTAATAATCCTGGTAAACGTAAATGTTCATTTTTACATTTGATTGATGAAAATGTACTAAACGGACAAACGATTAGAAGAAGAAATGGGAAGATCGGATGGACGAGTAAAGTAATTAATAATGATAAACGAATGACCAAATTAACAACTGCAACTAGAATGGCTGTGAATATTCAAGCAAATATACATACGATGAAATTTACACCAAAGATTCACAAACAGACAGGTGGGCGGATAAGTAAAAATAAAATTTCTGCATAGATGGTTGCGTAGATGCGGAATTAGGTACAGATGGGTCGTAAGAAGCGCAAAGATGAATGTAAAGAATAAAAAAAAAAAACGGACGATGCACGCATAGACTGTTGCGTTGAATCAAATACTCAAATGTACAAATGTATGAAAGTAGAGAAAGATAGAAATGTAGCATGAAATAAATAGACGAATGGATAGATAAACGAACAAATAATAAGCACAACCTGTATAGTGGTAATTGAAAGCAAGCTAGCCTAGGAATATTCAATTGATTCACCACCTTTCGATGAATTGTGATGAAGAATGTGCACACAAATGGAATAACAAATTTCTTGTCCTGGGTTTGCGTGATTATTATTGCAACAATAAATCAATATCTAAAATATACGCTAATAGGATTATTACGAAATTTTGTCACTCAACAGAGATTAATGCCATATGCCAGCGAAATTGAATACCATCGAAACTCAATCAATAAATGGAATCGAGCAAAACGATAGGAATTTAAAGTCTCTCAGCAATTGTGAGAATTTCTTTAAAAAAAAAATTGCACACATTATACATGATACCTATCTAGTAAAATATTAGCGGATAAAACATACGGTATTTTAATAATATTTTTCTGAAAAAAATTTCCTATAGTATCTGGTGAAAGCATTGTTTGCAATAACTTCTTTAATGATTTCCTTCTTTCGATAAAATTACATGTAATTGCAAAAAACCTAAGCAGCTAACCCTCCAAACACATGCCTCATACATGCGTACATATAAAAGAAAAATTGAAATTACATATAAACATAAAAAACAAAAAAAAAAAAAAAAGAAACATTTGTAAATTTAAGCTACATTTATGACTATAAAAACAAAACTATTTGAAAGCAGGAAAACAAAAAAAAGTCAATGAAAACTCCAATGAAAGCTCAAATTTGGTATTTATAAGGAAAATATAAAAAAACAATTTCCTCCTGTCTTGCTCAATTTCTCTCTCTCTTCCTCTCTCTCACTCTCTCTCTCTCTCTCTCTCTCTGTCTCTCTGTCTCCTTGTTTCTCTTATAGCGCTTGACTTTCTCTCTTTCACTCTAGCTATCTCTCTCTTTCTAAAATATCTTGAAAAAAAAAAAAAAAAAAAAAAATGAAAGAAAGAATAATAATCTCCCCATTAATACATACTTGCATACAAACATGTATACATACATGTGTATATATGCATAGTTAACGGAAATCATTATAATATAATACATTGATCAATTGTTGTGTTGTTGTTTATCATTGAAAGAGAAAGGAATTTTTTTTCGATATAAAAATGAAAACAAAAAAAAAAAAAATAATAAGGATTTTTTTTAAAAGTAATGAAAACATTTTTTATATGTATGCAAGAAAACTTGACAAGGAAACGGAAACGATCACACGCTCAAAAAAAAAAAAAAAAAAAAAAAAAAACAAATGCAAAAACATACATACAAACATAATAAGCATTAAGTTTCTTTGGCTCATTAATTATATTAAGATTTTAAAACTTGTTTTTCTTTTTAATGGATAATTAGAATAACCGCAACGCTTTAACTCTTAAACGTTTTTTCTTCTGATAGGGATGCTTTCGACGGTATGTTCGCGTTCGTGAAATTTTCAAATTTCATTTATGTCATATAGCATTAGTATGATATTTTGTAATATTATATTGTTATTAAAATGTAATAAGAAACTAACGGAAACTCATATGTAAAAAATTTACATAAATGTTAACAAATTTTATTGTGATGTTTTTTCAAAATTTACAAATCTAATGATAGTTAAAAAAAAATAAATAAATAAAAAATAAAAAAGAAAAATATAAAAAAAGGAAGCAAAAACAAAACAACAGCAACAACAAAAACAACAAAAATTATTTATATAAAACATTATCACAGTCATGTCCATACATGTGCAAACAAGTGCAAACCGACACACCGACAAACATGAAAACATATAATGGCACAAACTTAATACAAGCATGTAGTCATATAAAGATACGTGCATACAAACGCACCTAATAACCCTGACAACATACAAACAAACAATGATGCAAAGAAACAAACATAAAAATGTTCATATATGCGAAAGTATACAAACATACATACGTATACAAATGTTTAGAAAAAAAACATGCAATCAAACAAACATCCAAACATACTTACGGCTTTCGCAACATAATAACCGCACAAATATGCCAACATACATGCATAGAAGGACATAAAAAGTGCTAACTTTAAGCATACATACACATACACACACACACACATACATACACACATACATATATACATTTATGATATTCAAATTTGTCGAAAATCTTTCAATAATAAATGTTATGTGGGATAGGTATAATCATGGCAACAAAATGCAGTATCGCGACTAAATCATTTTATGTTATACTAATAATGCTGGACATTAAAAATTTGCGTTCAATATTGCCGACTGAAGAAATTCTCCGCCATAAGTAATTAAAGTGGTGCAGCAGTCACTTAGACATATATATAGAGAAATGTAATGTTGCCGCGCAGAAGTACTTCAAACATAACTTCAAAGCCTATTTCCATGATGATGAAGTTCCTTAATTTACCGCTAACCAAATAGAGCGAAACTGATTGGCTATCCTAATGACATTACTTTGATCGTGTGGTTCGAAACCGTCAAACTTAATAACGATTATCATTATGTACGCACTTAGCTATCATCCAAAAAAACTGATATAATAGTAGGTTGACCTGTAATTTGTCGGACCACCCCACTTGATAGCCATTAAAAAACCAAAAAAAAAAAGAAATTCACATATACACACATACATACACACACACACACACACATTATGAAAAATCTAATATTTTGTTGACTATTTTTGAAGTAATTGAAACGTAATCGATTTAATTGACCGTAAAAATGGTTTCATTAGATAAATAAATTCGCCAAACCGCTGTTACTTATTACAAAGTTAGCGTATTTGTTTCAAATTAAAATCAAGTTATTACATTTTTGTTTATAAATGAGTAAATATTTTCTTTTATTTGTTGCTTTATTAGTATTTATTTAATATTAATTTCGTTGCATTTATATTCAAACTAAATTTTATCAAGTAAATAAACATCTAATGATAATGACATATCAGTAGATATTTATTTATTGCGTTTGTATTAGGTTGGCGGTAAAGTCGTCTGTCATATTTTAAATAAAAGATTTAGATGTGGATTACTCTCTAGCGCATGGATAGCACAATTTCACTGTCAATCACTTCTGGTCCAAGTTCAATATGTTAGATAAGTTTTTACAAGCAAACGATCGTTTGCTTTCTTTCTAAAGCTTTAAAGCTCATACCAAATGCACTTTATTCGTAAATGACTAATGCACGGTATTGAAGTGCTCTCATATCCAACAAGACATGCACTAAGTAATAACACCTCACTCACATTACGCATTCCAGCTTGCGTTGTGTTGGCCTGATAAGTAAAATAATCTATAGGCAGAACATTTCCACTAAGCAATCCTTACATTAAGTAAGTTTGTTAGCCGTTTTGTTTAATGTAAATGTTGTTAGCCTTGAAGGTGTGAGAAATTAATCTAAATTGAAAAAAGGGAAGAACATTATCATCCCATTTCATACTTTCATCCAGTACAGTTAGTTATTCGGTCGTGCTGATGACTACACACATCATTTATAAAATTACAATCCGTAGACCACTCGGTTTAAACTATTAATCTCACCAATCGTTATGTGTCGATTAGCTTCGATCATGGTATTTGACCTCACAGAGTGAAATTTCGCAAAACAATTTTGGTAAATGCGTTCCACTACAGCATTAGTTTCATACACAGACCATATTTGTCTATGTGCTTCCGCTGCTCTTTTACCTTTTTTCAAATAAAAACGTAAAATATATCTTATATGGTCATTTTGGTCTTCCACGTCTTACTTACGTCTCGCTACTGCATCATTTTGAAGATTTTTTTGCAAAATAAACCGAAGCC